CACCCCCCGAGCAACGCGAGGGTCCCCCCCTCTCCACGCTGACAACCCCTGCCACGGGCCCCCCTCCGGCCCACACGCAGGCACACCACAGGGGGCCTCCCCTCCTGGGCCTGCCCGGCCGTGCCTGCCCTCTCTGCCCCCCGGCCGCCCTCCCCGGCTCCGACCTGCAGCTCACCTGCCGATGATGCTCTTGATCTGAGAGTCCTTCTCCACCTGCTGCTGCCGGAGCCGCTTCTCGCTCTGCTCCAGCCGCTGCTGGTACTGCTGCAGGATTTTGCTCGTCTGCTCCTCTTGAGTCAGCAGCCGTCGCTCGTATTCCTCCAGCTTCCGGTTAGACATGTGGAGGCGCTCTTTCAGGGAGTGGATCTCCTCCTCGTACTCCTTCACCTGTGTCGGGCGGGGCACACACACACACGGAACGGTGGGGATGGAGCGGGGGAAGGCCCGGCCTCCCTCCGGAGAGAGCGGGGCCCTCGCGCCCGGCCTCCTGAGGCCTCCCTCCACCACTGGGGCCGCGAGCCTTCGACCCAGCCAGGAGGGGGGGAAGGGCCACGGCTCCTCTGGCTGCGTGGCAGGGAGTGCCCGACGGCTGCTGCTTCCGTGGCCACTTCTGTAAGGGGCCCTGAAGGCCACGCTTCGTGGAAGGAGGAGGCAGAAGCTTTTAAGCTCACCAGCTGATACATGGCTGGCTTGTCCTGCCTTCACAGGCCCCCCTCACCCCGAAGTGATGTGCCCCCGCATGGACACACAGGCCCCCCCTCCCCCCCACAACCCAGCCCAAACACTGAACGGCGTCAGGAGAACTGCTGGGCGCCTGTGGAAGACCCCAATTCCAGAGCCGATACGGCCACCCTGAGGGAGGGCACAGGCCGGTCTCGAAGCCGGGACCACCGGGCCCCCGGGCCTTACCCGGTCCAGCCGACTCTCATCCATGGACTTGGAGTACTCCTTCAGCTTGTACTCCTCCCGCTCTATGTGGGAGCTCTCGATGTCGGCCGAGAGGTGAGGCATGTTGGAGACCCAGGCGACCGTCCGCTCTGAAGCCGGCATGACAGGGTTCAGCGTCGAAGGCGTGTGCGAGGGCTGCCGGGGGGGGAGGAGGAGGAGGAGGAGGAGAAGAAGGGAGCCAGTGAGCAAGGCCCGGCCCCAGCCCCCCGGAGCTCTGCGGCCACCGCCACCAGGGCTCCCTCTAAGCTGTGGAGTCTTCTTGTGAGCAAAAATCCTGCTTTGTGAGCTACTGCTGGCATTCGAGTTGTGAGCGATGAGTGATTTGGCTGCTGCATAAATGAGTTTGCTCTGGAGTCCCCTCCTTCCCCGAGGTTTACAAGATTATGCATGGGAAAGAGTAGGTAGAGAAAGAGGTACTCTTCTCCCTTTCCCACAATACAAGAACTCCTTGTGGGCACTCCATGAAATTACTGGGCGGTCGGGTTAGAACGGATAAGAGGAAGTACTTCTTCACTCAAAGAGTGATTAACGCATGGAATTCACTGCCACAGCAAGGGCAGCTTCAAGAGGGAATTAGATAAGCATATGGAGCAGAGGTCCATCAGTGGCTATTAGCCACAAGGTATAGATAGGGGCTCTGGGGCAAGTGATGCTCTGTCTTCTTGGCGCTTGGGGGGGGGGTCAAAAGTGGGAGGGCTCCTAGTGTCCTGGCCCCACTGCTGGACCACCTGATGGCCCCTGGTATTTTTGGCCACTGTGTGACACAGAATGTTGGACTGGATGGGCCTTTGGCCTGATCCAACATTGGCATCTCTTATGTTCTTATGTAAGGCAGAAATGTGTGAGCCGGAGGCTAAAGAACTGTGAGCTGGCTCACACTGACTCAGCTTAGAGGGAACCCTGGCCTCCACCAATGCTCCCTCTAAGCTGAGTTAGTGTGAGCCAGCTCACAGTTTCTTAGCCCCTGGCTCACGCATTTTTGTCTTAGCTCGGGAAGGAGGGCTCCAGAGCAAACTCATTGATGCAGCAGCCAAATCGCTCATCGCTCACAACTTTAATGCCAGTAGCAGCTCACAAAGTAGGATTGTTGCTCACAAGGAGACTCCACAGCTTAGAGGGAACCCTGGCCTCCACGCCCCCGCAATTGCCAGGGTCACATTCAGGCTTGGGGGTGGGGTGGGTGGGGGGTGGTCCAAGGCGCTGAGCAAAGCGCAACGTGAGCACTGAGCAAAGTGGGGTGTGTGTGTGTGCGGAGCCCACCCCTCAGGGCCGTGGCTGAGCGGCAGAGCTTTCAGGCCCTGGATGGTCAGGGACCCACGCCTCTTCGGGACTGCCTCTCCTCGTACACCCCCCCTCCCCCCGAAGAGCGTTACACTCAGCGGTCCCCGGCCCAAGAGACATCGGGCTGTCCGCCAGCCTGCTGGAACACTCCGCTGCGTGAGATCCGGGCCCTGCGGGACTTAAGGCAGTTCTGCGGGGCATGCCAGGCAGAGATGTTCCGCCAGGCGTTCGGTCGAGGGCACCCGGCTGGCCCGCCCCGCTCCTCCTGCTTTCCCCCCACGGGGCCGTGGCAGGCACTGGCAGGCTCGTCGCCACCGGGTCGGTCACTCTCCTGTGTATTTTATGGTTTCCTGTTCTTATTAGAACTAGGCATGGCATTTTTTGATGTACACCCCACCCTGGATGGCTGTTCTGCAGGGGTTGTTGTTCAGTCGCACGGTCGCGTCCGACTCTTCGGGACCCCATGGACCAGCTCCCGCCAGGCCCTCCTGTCTTCCACCGTCCTCTGAAGTTTGCTTAGTTTCATGTTCGTTGCACCTATGACACTGTCTAACCATCTCGTTCTGCAGGGGAGGGCGGTTTAAAAATGGACTCAGATAAATAAACGAGGTCCCAGTTTCGATCCCCGGCAAGCCTCTCCAGCTAAGAGGAGCAGGTCGCTGGTGAGGCGAAGGACTTTTCTCTGCCCGAGACCCTGGAGAGCTGCTGCCCGTCGGAACAAACCGGACTGCCCCTGACGGACACACACACCCCCCCGGCGGCCCGACACCGCACCAGGCAAGCTTCCGGTCTTCACAGGCTGTACACGTTTCGACCGGCACACCCACAAGCAGCCCTCGGATGAAAGCAAACATTTGACAGTTACTTTTGAAGGTGGCTGGGGCCGTTAGCCGTTCCCAGTTTCATCAAATACCATCATTCCAGTCTTGGTTGCATCCATAAGTTGGCTTACGCTTTCTAGGAAATCTTTTCAGAAGAGTGAACAGCACGCTTTAGACGACGATGCAACCGGTGCCCGTACAAACTCCACTCTGGATAGCTACATAAAACCATACCAGCCGGCTATAAAGCTCCCTGCCTTTGGTTTATGTTTGCTTACATTTTTAAAAAAATGCTGCCCCATCTCTTGGCCCAAAATCATAGAATCATAGAATCACAGAGAGTGGGAAGGGGCCATGCCCTGAGTCCAGCCCCCTGCCCAATGCAGGACCAGCCTGAAGCATCTCTGACAGATATTCGTCCAGCCTCTTCTTGAAAGCTGCCAGTGAAGGGGCGCTAACTGAGGCAGTTAGAGGAAGAAGAGAACAGATTGGATTCATACCCCATGGCCCTTCACTACCCAGAGGAGTCTCAGAGCGGCTGACAAACTCCTTTCCCTTTCCCCCACCCCACAACAGACACCCTGGGAGGTAGGTGGGGCTGAGAGAGCTCTGGACAGAGACTGATCTTTTCCAAGAACAGCTCTTATCAGAACTACGGCTTGCCCAAGGTCATTGAGCCAGGTGCAAGTGGAGGAGGAGTGGGAGATCAAACCCGGTTCTCCCAGATTAGAGTCAGCGCACTTAACCACGACACCAAACACTTAACCACTTAACCACTGACTGCACCAAACTGGTTAGCCAGAAAGATCTCAAAAGTTGTTAAAAAGTGTGAGAGGCATGAAGAGGAGGAGGAGAGACTAGATTCATACACTACCCTTCACTCGGGAGTTTTACAATCTCCTTCCCCTCCCCCTCCCCACAACAGACACCCTGTGAGGTCGGTGGGGCTGAGTGAGCTCTTTTGAGGACTGCTCTTGAGAGAACTTGTGACTGACCCAAGGTCACGCCAGGAGCTGCATGTGCGGGAGTGGGGAATCAAACCCGGTTCTCCCAGATTAGTCTGAGCTCTTAACCACAACACCAAACTGGCTCTCTGACTTACCAACGAGGAGGTGCGTGGGTTCTTACAAGGCAAAGGTAAATGCAGGGCTATTTTTGGGCAGGAACGCACAGGAACGGAGTTCCGGCTGGCTTCCAAGCTGTCCACGCCCAGCAGGAACTCATTAGCATAATAGGCCACACCCAATATCAGAAACTCATTAGGATTGGCTACATTAGGGGTGTGTGGCCCAATATGCAAAGGAGTTCCTGCTACAAAATGAGTTCCTGCTATTATGCTAATGAGTTCCTGCTGGACTTTTTCTACAAAAAAGCCCTGGGTAAATGAACAGCCAGACAGCAAAACAAGAATTTCAGGAGCAGACTGCTAAACTCATGGATGACTTCTTTGAATGGGTGACTTCTTTGAATGCGTCTCCATTCTGGAAGACAGACAGTTACCCCACACACACACACACACCGGACAACTATCTCCTGGAGGGTGCCTGAGGAACTGAGTCGAGAGAGGCCGTGTTTACTTGGGAGACCAAGAAGCCCTGCGAGGAAAGGCTGAGGGACTCCTTGGGGATGTTCCGTCTGGAGAAGAGGAGGTTGAGGGGGGGGGGGACAGGATTGTCAGAGGAGGGTTGTTTGTGTCGTATTCCTGTTGGCAGCAGAGGACAGAACTTGCAATAATGGGTTTAAATTAAGGGCGGGAAGCAAGGCTCCCTCTAAGCTATGAAGTCCTGTGAGCAAAAATTCTACTTTGTGAGCTACTGGCATTAAAGTTGTGAGCAGGTGATTTGGCTGCTGCATAAGTTAGTTTGCTCTGGAGCCCTCCAGAGGCTAAAAAACTGTGCGCTAGCTCACACAAACTCAGCTTAGAGGAAACACTGGCGGGAAGGTACCGGCTGGATATCAGGAAAAACCTTTTTACAGTCAGAGTTGTGCCACAGTGGAATCAGCTGCCCAGGGAGGTGGTGAGCTCCCCCTCACTGGCAGTCTTGAAGCAGCAGCCAAAAACGAGAGATCACGGGAGGAAGCGGAAATCCAAACATAACATTCGTGACAAAAATAAGGAAGAGTCAATAAAGATTCAATAAAGATCACTCAAACACGTGTGAGCGATAATAGAAGAGAATTTTCTACAGACTTACGACAGTAAATGATTTTGCAAACATATCTTCATTGACCCTTTGTTATTTTTTGTCACGGATGTTGTGTTTGGATTTCCACAGTCTTTAAGCAGCGGCTGGACAAACCCTTGTCAGGGATGCTCTAGGCTGATCCTGCATTGAGGAGGAGGTTGGACTAGATGGCCTCTGTGTAGCCCCTTCCAGCTCAGTGTGATTCTCTGATTCTATACTCCTGCCTTTTGTTCCTTGCTGTCTAGCCCCCTGAAAGACCCATCCTCTTATAGATGGCGGCTAAATTTACTCAGGAGCCTTCGGTGAGGGATTTTACAAACAAAGGAATGTTACAAAAATCAGGGCACTCCGAAGGAAGTCAGATCCTTCCAGGATGCCTAGAAACTATCTAAAACCACACTAATTGAGGTCCTGATACATTGCATGCCTCTAGTTAGGAAAGGGACTCCTAAGTCTAAAAGGGAGGCATTTGTGGTTAAACAACCCAAGTCGAGTAGGCCATAAAAGGCAAAAGGCTTCCTTTTCAAAAGTGGAAGGGTTTCCCCGAATGAAGTTGTTAGGAAGCAATCTTGCGAGCCCTGATGCCTCTGGGTCTGGGAGCTCAAAAAAGTTCTGCAGCCATTCCAAGTCTTTGTTGAGAAATGCCTCCCTTTTCTCTTGCTCCCAGGGGACACCAAGATTCTCTCTGGGTAGCAAACACTGCCACAAATAAATCTGAAAGACTATCTCCCACTGGAAGGATCTGTACTTCCGACACGCTATACTGCATTGCCGTTTACAGGCTTTGCGTAGTTGACACATCTCCTGTTTTGCTCAGACTAGTCAGCATGGGGACAACCAATCGCAC